GCCATCATCATAGATTCTTCAGCATTCCGTCGCAGACCCATCAGCCTCCTGATACGGACTTGCACCGACACTGCAGTGAGCTCCAGGCCTCGGGCTGGCCTCTTCAATCTCCTTTGTGCAGACGCCCTCTGCACACTTCCTCATCCAACTCTGTGGCTGACCATCGTAAGCCAAACTTGTAATTTCTCCTACATTTGTATATCTTATGTTACATCTGTTTCTCTAGTAAACATGAGTTTACACACATGAGTGATACACCCATGTTTATAGCAGCACAGTGTGTAACAGGTAAATCTTGAAACAACCCAAATGCCCATCAACTGAGGAATGGATAAAAAAGATGTGAGGTTTTTTTTTAATCCAATGAAGTACTACTCAGCCATAATGAAGGATAAACTTGAGACATTTCTAGGTAAACGGATGTACCTTGAGATTATACTCATGTAAAATAAATCAGACTCATATGTGTAAATATCACATTGTTTCCCTGGTGTGAGAAACTGAAAGAGTAAATAAGGACAAAACTGTACAATAGATACAGTGAAATAAGAAGAAATTATTGAAAAGGAAAGAGGAACTAGGGAGGGGGAAGGTAGAAAGAAGGAAGGGAAAGGGATAGAAGGATAAAATAGAAACAACACTTTGTAAATGAGGAGGGGAAGAGGGATTGAAGGGAGGGGAGGGGATTGGGGAAAAAAGTAGGAATCAAGATGTATCATGTAAATGTACAGATTCCCTATGATGAATATGATCATTATGTATGTCTAAATTGTACCAATAAACTTAATAAAAAACTAAAAAAGAACTAAAATAAATAAATAAAGTATGGCTAGCTAGTCCCAACTGAAATGTGTTGTAAAACACACAATGTATTCTTGGCGGGGGGCAGGGCACAATGATTTTTACATAAGGATATAAAGTATCTCAAATTCCACTTTGATATATGATGAAATGATAATGTTCTGGATACACTAAACAAATACATCATTAAAATTAATTTGTCCTTTAAAAACTTTAAATATGTACCATTGTCAGGTAAAATAAAGGACATCTAACTACATCTGAATTTCATATATCCTTGCAAAGGACATACATATATTTTTTTAAAAATTCATTCTTTATTCAAAGTTTATTTTGTTTTGTTTCATTTTGTCTTTTTGAGTCAGGGTTTTGCTATACAGTTCAGGCTGGCCTTGACCTCACTTTGTAGCCCAGGCTAGTTTCAAACTTGTAATGATCCTCCTGCCTCAGTCTCCCCAGTGCTGAGATTACAGGTGTGCGCCACCACGTCTGGCTTTATTCAGAATTTGAATTTAACTATGCTTATTTTCAATTGCTAAACCTACATATTTTATTAGTATGGCTGCTAGAATATTCAGAATTACAAATGTACCCGGCTGCAGAGTATGGCTAGTCCTAGTTACTGGAGAGACTGAGGCAAGACGATAGGCCCAGGAGTTCGAAACCAGCCTTGAGCAGCATAGCGAGACCCTGCCTCTAAATCAATTTATCAGTTAAATAACAAATGTAGCTCCTCATTCTACTAGACAATGCTGCTTTAGAATCTCATATTGTAATTGCTTTTCTTTTTTAATCAGTCTGCTTTTCTTTTTAATCAGTCAGCTCCCGAATCAGTTAACTGTGCAAAAATAGCTAACCTGAGGGGAACATTTGACCCTAGGCTAGGATTCTTAATAATCTTGAAGTTAAATTTTTACATTGGGTTGAACAAGTTAAAGAACAACGGAATGCTTTTTTTACAGAACAAAATATAGAAATGGTATTTGAGTTAGAATTGTCATTGCTCACTGTTGCCCAGTTTCAGAAGACTCCCTCGGCCTTCCATAAGGACCCGCTTGTCAGGGGCAGCTGTCACTGTGACCCCCGGGCCAGTCACAGTCCCCCACTGGGCTTCGACAATAATAAATCGGAAGGGGAACACTATTAAAAGTCGAGTCTCGTCGTCCACCAGACACCCAGAGGCGCCGCCGCGACTACAGTCTGGCACTCCAAGGTCACGGAACTCAGGACGCCCGATCTGGGTCACCCTGGCGACGCGCTCGGGGCGTGGCCCGCAGTAGCCCCGCCCACGCCCCTCGTCCCCGCCCCCCAAGCTCGTACGCACACAGGCCGCACCGCCCTCTGCGTCACG